ACCCGTAAAACTGTTCTCAAAGTTAACTTCATGATTAGATAGATGGGTCTACAGTGATGGTAACTTCGATAGATAAGTACGATGTAAGTCAGCTTAAACATGTAAGATCAAGTTTAGGGTAGCAGCAGCAATATGTAAGCATTAAATTTTATAGCTACCAACATTTTACATAGATGGATTTATCAATTATAGTCTCTGTCTTGTTCTTTGCTGTATTGAGAGGCATTGACGATGTTCAACGTTTCCATAACTTTTATTTACATTTGCCCGAGTATGTCACACAGTCTGTACTGTGAGAATGGAGAGCGAGTTTAACTTATGCCCGTCGATTATAATGTTTTAATCCAAGTGTTATTGTTACTAGATTTGAGAGGCTCTTTGCGAGGTATGGTTATGTGATTTGATCGAGATTGGCACAATGGGACTTATTATCTTACTGTACCAATTCATACCTTTACCGTCACAACTAAGTTAATCGTAGATATTATTACTTGGTAGTATTAGATGCTTCAGAGTAAAAGTGATTATGTTTTAAGTATTTTGCGGCAGTAAAGGTCTTTGCTCTTTCTTCACAACTATTGATGTGGTTGCTTCCTGAAGTGATTTTTCTAAAACATTGTGTATTAAACTGACCTGATAAGCAGAAGATGCTAATGGAATCATAAAAGTTATAGAGAAAATCACACATTTCATTTTAACTTCATCTGTGGGGCAAAGTGTCGAGAACAGCGTGAGAACATGTTCGATGCATCAGAAAGGCTATGCAAAATTTATCTTTCCTACACACTGATCAGATTAAAGATGGACAGTTTGATTTCATAGACTTTAATTTATTTCACTAATTCTAAGTGATAGTTAGCCGCACCTCAAGTACTCTCGGCTTTAAATCCTTGCCGAAATTTCTGATGAGCTAATAATTCTACAGTTAATGACTTTAAATCCCCCTCACTTTCAATCCCATGTCAAAGTCCTCGAAACATATTTGTTGGGTTTGAGTATGGAATTCTAGTAGTTTTTTCTACCCCATCAAGAACGTGTTCTACCTAGATACCTATAAT